CACTGATGATGGCAAACTACACTGTAGCCACAGCTGCCCTGGGGCACGCTGGGGTACACTGACAGAGGTGGGGCTGCCATGCATCGGTGCCACCGGACCCTCTGACCACCATCAGTAGGCAAGGTGGGTGAAGTGTCTTGCCCAAGGACACAACGACTGAGACGGCTGGACGGGGGATCGAACCAGTGACCTTCTGGTTCCAGGACGACTCCCCTAACCACTCCGCCACAACCGCCCACCGATGAGCGCTAGTGTCGTGGTAGCAGCATGCTATGTGTTTACATCCATCGCCGCCATGTTTGTAATGACTTATCATGAGAACAAACGTATTCACGTGACTTTAATAGCATTTCTTACTTAATGGAAACACTGCAGTTGTGAAACTGTGTTTTTCGACATTAACAGAATATCGACAAAGTTTTGTGCACATTTGCAATGGAAACACAGCTTGTGTCAGCCACGATACGAGTTCCAGTTCCTGTTGATGTGCTTCTATACGCCGATGACACGCTGCTAAATTTAGACAGCAGAGTCAGCTCTGAGCCAGTCATCGGCCACTCGTTTTGGCTCAGCTGTCCTCTGACGCCTCCAGAGCTGAGTTTATTCCCAGAACCACCGAGTGTGACCTGAGTGACTAAAACTACAGCTGTTTGTTTCAAAGCTGCGGTTTTCAACATGTAAATGAGGTCGATGACTCCAGCTCCACCTTCAGGGCTTTAAAAGCCCAGCTGCTGGTTCTGAGCCCTGCAGATCGTCTGCTCGATCTGTGAACGTCAGCAGAGTCATGCCTTCGATGGGTGCAGAGATGCTCGCCATGGCTCTGGCTGTCCTGGGCTGGATCTGTGCCTTCGTGTCCTGCGTCCTGCCCATGTGGAAAGTGACGGCTTACGTTGGGATGAAAACCTTCACCACAGAGACTACGTGGGAGGGCATCTGGATGACCTGCCTGTACCAGAGCATGGGTTACATCAGGTGCCACGGCTCCTACTCCACGTTGGCTCTGAGCTACAGTCAGCAGGCCGCTCGCATCCTCACCGTCGCCTCCATCCTGATGGGAGCTCTGGGTCTCCTGACGGCCTCCGTCGGGGCAAAGTGCACCAGATGTGTGGCCGAAGAGGCAGCTAAAGCCCGGGTGATGGCAGCCGCCGGCTGGACCTTTGTTTTAGCCGCTCTGGCACAGATAATCCCCGTGTCGCTGTACGCTCATTCCATCATCGTGCACTTTAATGATCCGGGCGTACCCAAGGAGTCCAAGTGGGACCTGGGTGCAGCTCTGTACCTGGGCTGGGCAGCTGGAGCCTTTCTCCTCTTCGGAGGCGTCATCCTCTGCCTAAGCTGCTCCAAACCGGCTAAGGAAAGGCTGAACCCTCCGTCGGTGGCGATGTACGCCCAAAACAGRCCGACCTCTCCGAGCAGCTACAAGAAGGACTTCGTCTGACGAGCTGCTCTTTTCTCCTGAAGGAAAACTGGAAAAGACAAAAAAAAAAACTGCTTTATGAAAACATCACATTCCTGCTGTTTTTTATTTTAATGAAACTTGGAGACAAATTCTTCCTCCTGTCAATCAAATGTAGAAATGATGATGTCGTGTTTTGTTTTATAAAGTTCACACACGTGAGTTACTGTGCTGCCAATAAAAAAGCAATGTTTCAGTATTTGTTGAAGTTATCTTGAACGTTACCTTATTAAAAAAGCACTTTTTAAATGAAAATGTGTTTTTGTTTTCTTATTTTTTACAACAAGTTTTAAAATTCTATTGTCATCATTCGCAGATAAACAACAAATTAACCTGTTGTGAGTACTGTGTAAGTATTTTATTTGTCAAATGTATTCATTTCATTTAAAAAAACAAAACATGTTCAAATACAACAAAAAAATACAAATCAAATAAAATGAAAGGTAGAAAAAAAGAAAGAAGAAAAAAATCTTATTTCTGCCCCTGAGTACCCTGAAAGTACTTTTGTAAGTACTGGGTAAGGTACAGAGTACCCTTTTAAAAACCGTTTAAATCTTGGATAGATACCTGTTGGCACAGTTTCATTGTGTTTTGGTCCCAAACTGTGAACMCAGCAGAACCCAGCGTGTTCCTCTGTGGTTCCACAGTGTTAATGTTCTCCTACCATGTGCTGCTGTTTATGTGACAACAGTGATGATTTTAGCCCTTTTTGAGGGGGCATCGAGCCCCCCTAAACTTAAACTCCTAAAAATAAGGAAACTTTCGTTCCTATTTTGTAAAGAACTTTTGTTCTCAAGCCTAAGATTCACCAAGATATTTAATAAATTTAAACTAGAAGAAGTGGTAGAGCACACACCTCCATCAGTCACGCAGTAACAGTCCGTGTGGTTAACACTCAAAAATCCGAGTTTTCTCCGGTCTTGAACGCGTCACAGACGAGTCGTAGCTCCGGTTTGTGAGGAGTTTAGAAATAAAACTAGATAAAGAACAGAGGTTTATAGTAACTAAGTACATTTACTTCGTTACAGTGCTTAAGTAGTTTTTTTGAGGATTTGTAATTTTACCTTTTTTCTAAACAGCTTTTACTTCTTTACTTTAAAATGTAACACCTAGTTACTCGTTAAAAAATTAAATATCTTCAAACTCATCATGAAAGATGTTTCTGCACTCTAAAAATGAAGTGTCACATTTAATCAAAAAAGTCATATCAACTGGCTCCACTGAGCCTAGTTGAGTAAAATGAGCAAAGAATACACATATATTGTTTAATTTACTCAACCTGGTTTAGTTGAACCAGTTTGGTTTAGTCAATTCAACAGTTTATTWCTKAGAGAGTGTGTAAAAATACTTTTACTTTCCCAATTTTTATGAACGGTTTTATGGMTTTCACTTGAGTAGYTTTCTCATCAGTGAAATTTATTTTTACCAAAGTCATTTTCTGTTCATGTAATTTTGCTTTTACTTAGTTTTTCTTTTCAAGTACTTTATAGAGCTCTGATAAAGAGTAAAAGTTGTAGAGACATTTACATTAGAAGGGAAATTTGTTTTTTAGGAACGTGTTTGTCATGTAGCTGACGGTTGGTTTAGCTGCAGCCATCATTAATATTTTAGCTGTTTCTGAACTGTACAACTGGTCAACATTACAGTAGACCTAAAGCCCACTACTGCAGTTTTAATACATATTCCAAGCTACTAAAAAACATTATGAGTGATGATATTGCTTTAGCTGGGCTAGGAGAAATTATTAGTTTATGTTTCCTTTCTCCCCGTAAGTTATGCTAAACTGTGTTTCTGTAGCTAGAAAGATCAAAGTTAGTTAGCCTACATGCTCTTTAGCCCATATTAATTATGTTTATCTGCCTGTGAATAGAAAGGTGATTCATACTGTAACTATATAAGTCTGCATCATAAATACTCAACTGAAACAGCAAAACCCTCACTGGTAACATCTACTACTGCGTGGGTTTTAATAATAAATAAATAAATACTGTAATTTCATTGTGCTCTGTACGATGACAATAAAGGTCTCTCTAATCTCTACTTCTCTAAAATGAACATGTTATTTTTTAAAAGCGAATAAGCTTACAGACACATTCAGGTAAAAAATAAATAATTAAATTTTATGTATGATTTTCAGTTAAAGTCTAATTTTCAGTGCCCTGCTTTCATAATACACCCATTTTAGGTTGTTTTATCAATCCTATAAATTTAGTAAACGCTCTTCAAATGAATGGGAAATGCATAGTTTTGAGTACTGCCGGACCCCCCTATGACTGCTTCACTCCACAGCTGTTTAACATAAATATGTATCTCGATGTTGGCAGGTATTATGTTAGTTTCTAAGGTTCTGTTATATAGTAGGGCTGTGTATTGGCAAGAATTTGGCGATACGATACATATCATGACAGAGGGGTCACAATATGATATATCCCGATATATTGCGATACTGTAAGCAAGGTGAAATATTGTGATTTTTTTATCCAAAAATTCTTTTAAATAAAAACCTCTTACTGGGGCAGAAAAATGAAAAACCAAAATTCATTGTCTCAGAAAATTCTAATATTACATAGACATACTTTTGATACATTTAGCTGTGTTCTGCTTTGTATGCGTTTTATTTTATTTGTTTCATATTTCATTCATGTTTTCAATTATTAGACTAAATTTGACAATAGTTTGAAAATATATTTTTTGCAGCTTTTAGTTTTTAATATTAATTTACAATATGGTCACCCAACACTTAACAATAGAGGAGCCAAATGGCTGGCTCACTGCTGCCAACTAGTGGTCAGAGGCTGAACTACAACATAAAAATGAACGGCTGGCAGGAAAGTTGACATTTTAAACCTTCATAAAAAAATCGATACAGGGCTTTAGAATATCGATACAGTATCAGGAAATGAAATATCGCAATATTTCAGTGTATCGATATTTTCTTACACCCCTATTATATAGACAGTTGTTAATTGTTTTAGTTGGACAAAACTATTTAATTTTATATGTGAATGTATGTAAACATGCAGTAATATTTGGAAAACAGAGTGGTCCCTTGGGCCCTAGCCCTGCTTTAGGCTTAGCACCCCTAAAGGCCAGATCCTAGAACCGTCCATGTGAGAAAAAGTCAGACAGAAATTATTTGGTTAAAAAAAGCAATATAATGTTTTGTGAATCAGACAAAACGCTAAAGAAAGTGAAGCTGTGTTGTTTTTGCTCTAAAATTTTTAATATTCTGGTCTTAAACCTGACAGATGTGGACTTAAAACTGAATTTCATTTGAAAAATAATTTAGCTGACGAACACGATGAGGATTTTTTTTAGTGAAAAAAGGTAAAAATAACCATTTAGTTTTGTTTGATTAAAACTGGAGAAAAGAAAAAGTTCTGAAGTCTGCAGCTCAGCTGTTCATTCACCTGTTGACTCTATGATAAGAAAAACCTCTAAACAATGGTTCTGTTTGGTTTCATCCTGACCTGGGGGGGCCGGGGTGGCATTCCTCTGGAGACGGTCCAAACCGCAAAACAAATCTAGAATTTCTGCAGACAGACGGACCCATCAGGACCCAAACAGAAGTAATAACAGGAGGAGAGAAACTCAGCTGAAAGAGTTCCTGTGAATTTCTGTTAGATTTAAACAAAACTGTTGAAAAAGTTGTTTGTTGCCCAAATTTAATAAAACTTCCTGATGTTCATCTACGGTTGAAAGTTAAAGATTATTAAAGACAACCACATTCAAAATGGCCGCCACAGCCATCAACAAAACAGTTTTAAACTTTCCTGTCATCCTGAACCCTCCTACAGAATAAAAACACCCCTGCAGCTGTAAAGGGCCTCTTTGTGGTCCGGCTCTTTGTGAAAGCGGGCCAGGTAAGCCGATAGTGGAGGTCCTGACGGAGTCCAGGTACCGCCTCCGATGATGTCAACCCCACCTCTGACTCCTCCCCCTGCACCTGCCGCGCAGTATAAAAAGGATACGGTTCAAGTAGAGGGAGCAGATCCTCACACACCTGCAGGTTCAGGACCTGACAGCAGATCCGGCCTCCTCCGCTGGCGTGACCCACATCTATTCATCAGCAGCAGAGGAAGAGGAGGAGGAGGAAGATGTCTATAGGCCTGGAGCTGATCGGGATCTCCCTGTGCATCCTGGGATGGATCATCGCCATCGTGGCCTGYGCCCTGCCCATGTGGAGGGTGACAGCCTTCATCGGCAGCAACATCGTGACGGCGCAGATCATCTGGGAGGGTCTGTGGATGACCTGCGTGGTCCAGAGCACCGGGCAGATGCAGTGCAAGGTCTACGACTCCATGCTGGCCCTGTCCCAGGACCTGCAGGCCGCCCGGGCCCTCACCGTCATCTCCATCCTGCTGGCCATCCTGGCCGTGCTGGTGGCCATCGCCGGGGCCAAGTGCACCAACTGCATCGAGGACGAGGCCTCCAAGGCCAAGGTGATGATCATCTCCGGGGTCTTCTTCATCGTCTCCGGCGTCATGCAGCTCATACCCGTCTCCTGGTCCGCCAACACCATCGTCAGGGACTTCTACAACCCGCTGCTGACCGACGCCCAGCGCAGGGAGCTGGGGGCCGCGCTCTACATCGGCTGGGCCGCGGCGGCGCTCCTCATACTGGGAGGAGGGCTGCTGTGCTGCTCCTGTCCGCCCCGTGAGACCCGGTACAACAACTCCCGGATGGCTTACTCCGCCTCCCGGTCCATGGCGGGCCCGGGACTGGAGAGGAAGGACTACGTATGAGTGAAGGTCAGCGAAGGAAGGACGTTAATCACAGCTGGAGTTTCATAAACGTCTCTGAAGTTTGTCCTCTAGGGAACAAAAAAGGGACATCTGAGTGGATTTATTTGTGTCCTGTCCTTTTTAAATCATGGACTTTTTGTAAAATGTAAACTTGTTTTAAAAAAAAGTTGAAAAACAGAACTGTGTTGTGATTCATCAGCTACAGCAGAGGTAATAACTGTTTATTTCCTGTGGTACAAAGTGAGTGGGTTAAAAAAAGTTATTTTTAACCACTTTGAGCCTTTAAACATTTCAGAATTTGCACCGAAGCCACAAAAAAACAAACTGTATTCTTTTACAACTTGGTGTTTTACTTTTACTCGTCTTAAATTTGTTATAAATGTTGGGGTTTTTAAATAAAAGTGACAATTTTTTTAGCTGCTGAATGTTTTGTTATTTTGAAAGGACGCTTTAGCTCCTGTTAGAAGAACAAATACTTCATGACTCAGTGAACCTTTAACAGAAACGACAGAGCGGGTTTCACCTCAGTAAGACTACAATTGACATTTGATCCTAAAGGCCGTGTTACTCACACACACACACACACACACACACACACACACACACACACACACACACACACACACACACACA